CAACCAGTAATATTGAAGCCCTCAGCCCCCCCTACCGTCGACCAAGTCCCTGCACCAAAGAGATTAACAGGAGAAGAGCTTCAGGAGCGATCTGCGAAGGGGTTATGTTGTCATTGCGACGAGCCGTGGAGCCATGAACATCGCTGTAGTAAAGGGAGACTTTTTATCGTTGAACCAGTAGAAGAAGAGATCATTGAACATCCAGAAGAGAGCATTGAACATAAAGAAGAAGATGCAGAAGAAGAGCCACAACCGACCGAAGTTACGGTACATGCACTAGCCGGCTACTCAAACCCGCAAACGATGAAAGTTGGAGGCCTTCTCAAACAACAACCGATCACTGTTTTCATCGACATGGGCAGCACTAATAATATCCTAAACAGTAAGGTTGCTATCCGAATGGCATTACCTATCGAGAATTGCTGCAGGTTTGATGTTAAGGTCACCGACAGACGGATTTTGAAGTGTGATCGTAGGCGCCCGCAGGAGAAACTATTACTGCAGGACCAAGAGATAATTGTAGATTTCTTCCTTCTCCCTCTTGATGATCATGAGGCCATGCTCAGAATTAAATGGTTGACAACATTAGGTGATTTTTCTTGGAATTTTATGAAACTAATTATGAAATTTTACAGTAAGGAGAAACAGGTGATACTGCACGGGAAACGTGGGGGCGACGTAACGATGATTTGCACACAACAAATGAAGAAGGTTTTGCATAAAGTATGCAGTGGATTTTTGGTACAACTTGAGCAGCAAACTAAGGGAGAGCCAATAGAATTTGAATATCCAAATCTACTTCCTTTGCTTGCTGAATTTTCAGATATAATTGATGGACCGCGCAACCTACCTCTTACCCGCCGGCATGATTATTATATAACAATTCTTCCAGGCAAACCTCCAGCAAATGCTCAGCCATATCAGTATCCACATCTCCAAAAGGATGAAATAGAATGGATTGTAAAAGAGATGCTCGAAACAGGAGTTATTCGGCCATGTTGCAGCCCCTACTCTTCACCGGTGCTCCCCATATGAAAGAAGGACGGAACATGGCGATTATGTGTTGACTACCGAGCTCTCAATGACATAATCATCAAGGATAAATACTCTATTCCAGTAGTAGATGAATTGCTAGATGAAAGGGAGCACAAATCTTCACAAAGCTGGACCTTCGATCCGGGTATCATCAAATACGAGTATGCGAAGAAGACATACCGAAAACCACCTTTTGAACACACAACAACCACTATGAATTTTTGCTTTCTTCAAAAGAAGGTGGAATATCTTGGGCATATTATATCAGAGGAAGGTGTGGCAGTAGACCCCTTCAAAATTGGAGCAATGCAAAATTGGCTGACCTCGAGGAACATAAAATTACTACATGACTTTTTGAGTTTAACAGGCTACTACCGCAAGTTCGTGAAAAACTATGGAAAGATCAGTGCACCACTTACTTCCTTACTGGAAAAAGATGTCTTCCAATGGTTGGACAGAGCCTCCGCTGCCTTCGACAAACTTAAGGCAGCCATGATGACGACGCCGGTGCTAACACTACCAGATTTCAACCGACCCTTCATTATTGAGGTCGACACATCTGGAGTCAGAATTGGAGCCATTCTCATGCAAGATGGTCGGCCACTCGCAAACACTAGCAAGACATTATCTCCCTCCTCTCAAAATAAGTCAACATATGATAAGGAGATGCTCGCCATTATGCGCGCAGCAACGCGGTGGAGACCCTACTTGATTGGTCGACGATTTCAAATTAAAACTGACCAAAAAAGCCTTAAGTACTTTTTGGAGTGAAAGATATCATCCCCTGAGCAGCAAAAATGGGTAACAAAACTTCTTAGATTTGATTATGAAATAACTTACAAAAAGGGGAAAGAGAATGTTCTTGCAGATGCGCTTTCGCAACTACCCGAGCAAGCTGAAGTTTCGGCCGTTTCACTTTCGACCAGCGACTTCCTTGAGGATATTAAGATAGAATGGCAGGAAGATTCAGAGACTAGTAAGATTATAAAAAAATTGGAGGAAGTACCAAGCTCCGTGACTCATTACAATTGGGACTTAAAAGAATTACACTATAAGGGATACATTATGCTTGTGACAAATTCTACTTGCATCTTCACAAGAAGATTTTGGACAAAGTTATTCCATATGCATGGTATTAAATTGAAAAGGAGTACGACATATCACCCATAAACCGATGGCTAGACGAAAGTTGTAAATAGGTGCTTGGAGATAGCCCAAAGCCACCCACCAAATATGACTACGCAAGAAGAACCCCAGACCCAACCAAGTGCTATTATTGATCGACGGATTGTGACTCAACGATGATGGCCCACTACTGAAGTGCTAATACAGTGGGCGAACATATTATCAGAAGATACCACTTGGGAGAACTATGACGACTTGAAGATCAAATTCCTAGAATTCATGAATCGTCAGCCTCGAGGACAAGGCTGATTTGAAGAGGGCGGGTCTGTTAGGACTCTAGCTAGGAGAGTCCTAATTGAGAGGGACATTCATGTAAAACCAACCTAAGCCGACCCCTATTAAAGAGGTAAAGAGGCCGGCTAGGGTTAGGAGGTTGTTTCTTAGAGAAGAATTAGGAGTTGTAAAGGAATATGAGTCTTAAGTAGGAGTCATATTAGGAGTTGGTTAGAAGTAGGAGTCTTGAGTAGGAGTCCTATTAGGAGTTAGGGTTTAGAAGCCCTATAAATAGTCATGTATTCCTCCTCTTTTCATAAGCAATAGATGAATCTTTTCTGCAGCCTTTGAGCAGCAACTTGGAGGGAGGAACCCCTATAGAGTTCCAAGGAGGCCGATCCCCTAAAGAGATCAACCCCAAGTTTAGAATCTGCAAGGGTTCTAACAATGTGAGGCGTAGCCTAGTGGTGGCTTCACACTGTGATGAGTCCTCCGACTCTATCTATCGATAGCCCTTTTCTACTCAACCTCTCTTATCATGCCCAAATACTAGGTTGGCTCTGATAGATGGGCTAACTAGTCTATCAACTTCGTTTGGCCTAAACCATTAGTCAAAATGCTTAAGCTGAAGTTGATAGGCTAGTTAGCACATCAAGCCTGGGTCATGACATTTGATATCAGAGCTGACCTAATATTTGAGTATGGTGAGGAGGCTTGAGTAGAAAAGGACAATAGATAGAGTTAGAGGACTCGTCACGGTGTGGAGCCACCACTAGGCTATGCCTCACATGCACCATGTTAGGGTTTGATCTGAGCTATACTGGGCCTTGATGAGGATATGAAGCCCTTGAGTGTGAGAGATTGTAACACCCATGATTAGTCCCACATCAGAAGTGGGTAAGATTAAGATTGACTTATAAGAGTATGATGAGTATACTATTATCAACTTCAACTTAGACATTAAGATCAATGGTTTGAACCAAACAAAATTAATATGCTAGTTAGCCTATCGGGTCATGGCACTAAATCAAATTAAACTGATCTATTTTTCTCTTTTCAATTTGAATCTAGTCAGCCCAACTGGATATATGTTTTGTTAGGTTCATGGGCACACCCCAATTACAGCCAGTTTGTGGTTTTTTGTTTTTAGATCAACATGATTCTCAGTTGTACAGCATGATGTGAGAGTACTTTTAATTTCTGATATTTTTGTGAAAATGATGGTTGTAGCATTATCATATTGGTTGTTTTACTATGTTGCTTAATTTTGTTTTTTTAGATGTTTCAACTTAATCATATGATGACACCGATATCTTAGCTCAATTATTTTGTTTTATTTGGGATATGTCATATCATGAATGCGTCCATATTAACTATCATTATTTGATCATAGGACATTCCATGACATTCTATACTCCACACCACATACAAGCCAAGTTGGTCTACTAGCAATGGCCCTTGTCCTGCTTTACAAACATATTCCTTTGATCACATTCAACTTCGAGATGCCGAGGGCATTGATGGTAAGCATATGAAGAACAACATTGGGCAAGTGATAGCATGTTCATCTGTATGGATGATCATGCAAGACCCATAATTTATGTTTTTGGTCACACTTGTTTCTACGACAATCATATAGGTGCTCCAAATTATCTGCTATTTACTTTTGAAGTCCATGATCTTAGATGATGCAGAAACACTTATAACTCAGATGATTTGGAATTATATTCAGCATTATCTTCTGTTGTTAAATCTGTCTAATATTGGCGTACTCTTGCTCCATCCATTTTATCTGGTGCTGCTGCACATGTTATTGCCAACTGTGTGCCTGTCACCATTCTTATATAGGTTGATACATGTTTGCATTGCTTGGGTTTTTATTTTTTACCAAAAAAATTGATTTTGTTTACTAAGTACCGACACATGGTATGCTAATATAGCTCGAAGCCGTATTGGTTCGAAACCGACACATGGTATGCTTGCTCGTAAAGCGAAGTCGTATTGGTCCAAGATCGACACATGGTATGCCGGTATAGCTTTAACTTATATTGGTTAGATTTCCATTATGAGTTTGGTATTCAAAATTAGAAGTTTTGAACCTTATCACCATTGCCAATGTAGTTTGTGCAAACTCTAAACCTTACTATTTCAGATCCGTTATCATTTAGCATCTAATGGGATGTCATTTCAGACACAGTCCTCGTATGCATGCATGACATGATAACTGGATTCTACATCATAAGAATCAAACCCTGCTCATCCATGATAGCAGAGGAAAAATGTACCGATTCAAGATTGAGAACAGCCAGTTCATGAGAGCATTAAAGATGGAACACGCCATAAACGATAATTGAAAACAATTGTACCAATTACTGTCGACTAAACTAATGACCACGAAAGAATGGACTTCACCAAATGAAAGAAAAAGAGATGCTAACTATGAGTGTACAGAACGTTATCTGATTTTAAATATTTAAAAATAATAATATTAAAATATGAGATTAAATAATAATAGATAAAATTTATAATATATGTCTCTTGATGTTACTCAGAATGTTATTTGATCTACTAACATATTATTATTGGATCCAGAAGCTATAACGATATCGGATCCGGAAACTATAACGATATCGATCTCTAAGGACTACAGTCAAGCTGCATTCAATGACAAAAAAATGTGTTATGAGCAATAATTATTTAAATTAAATTATTTTTATTTTATTTTAATTTTTTTTATATTTTATAAATTAATAGGTCAAGTGAAATAATGTTAGATCATGTTATCTTATTTAATTAGGTAAAATATATTATGGATATGATTGAATTTTGATTATGATTATGGGTCAATAAAAAGAAATCCAATTATGGTATAATTCCTTACAAGATGATATTGATGAAAGGGGCTTTCTAAATTATTTATTCTAGACCCTCTATTCTCATATATAAATAGACCGGACTACCTAGGAACTAAACAACATAATACGCGAATACATAAATAATATAACACGTGAATACATAATATTATTGAGAGATTACTTTTATCTCTCCTTAGTAAATAATCAACAAGAGATTATAGATCTTCTTTCATCTTTCAATGAACAAAAAAAAAAAAATTGAAGCCAATACATCAAGTGTAGATATATATTATAAAGGATTTATTGATACACTGTCATAAGTTTGAACTTATATTGTTAACCCACAGCAAGACTCATTTTACAAGGGGAAAAAAAAAAGAAGAGGCTTGAAAATGAAGCAGCCCCACCCACGATTGTCATGGAGGCCACTGCGAAAAGACAGAAATGCAAATGAAAGAATGAACACAACAGTTCCCAAACACCTCAACAGGCCACAAAGGCTGAACAGAATATACATTCATACGAAGAGTTCATCATTATGACAAAATCAAACTATAATGGCCAACGAATGCAGTACTATCGATGAGCTTTGTGTCTTTTGGATGCTCGTGATGATTCCTCGCCACTGATCCCCATCCTGCGGTAACCAATTGATTGATTACATGATGCAGGATCTTCTGGTTCCTACAATAATGCAAAGGAAATAGAAGTCAACAGACTAGGATTATTTAGCATAAGAAAGCAAAGCCAACTTTGAAGACAAGATTCACAGTAATCGATGGTCGTATGTTATGCACATGCAAATTCTATGCTGGAGTATATGTACATAATAAGGAATCGAAGAAAGTTGCAATCATGAGACAGTAGAATGATTATTTATTTTCATACAAGAAAAGTGAATTAAAGATCATTTTTGCTTTAAGAATAAGATTAGACATCTTTTTAACTTATGAATCGTGGTTTTAAACAACAGTCAGTGTGATACTTTTTTCTCAGTTGATAGGTATATTAGTAGCACTGCACTAATATAGTTGATTACTGATATTAGCAACAGATCGAGATTTTAAACCCTTTTACCATCCGAAGCCAATCGAAAACCATGAAGTTGGGAAACAATAGAGCCCATACCTTAATGGTGGAAGTTGTGGCTGTAGCATCAGGCCTCTTATTAATTGGTGGCTTGCCAAATTTAAACTGTACAGAGATATTGGCTTGAGACAGATCTATGCCAGAGCTTTGCAATGCCTCAGTCAACGTGTTTAACAACCTGTTTTTCCACCAGGAAAATAGGCAATAAATGTCATGCAAAAATGTTTGAAAGATTGATTTGTCTCTTCGAGGACATTTAATTTAGACTAAAATTTTCACAGCAAACAGACATCTCTACCACTACACAGGAAATTAATCTAAAAAGATTGACAAGAAGATCCACTTACAATAATGCCAGTGCAAAGTACCAAATTGAAGAAAAACTTGCATAACTTTTTGAACCAAACCATGAGAAAAAAAGAACTCAATAATTCTCATATACATACATACATACATACATACATACATACATATATATAAAAGAAAAACAACAGAAAAAAAATAAATCTCGCTCTGAAAGATATGGCTGCATTGCCAGAAGTATATATTCAGAAATAGAATCAACTTATGGAGTTATGCTTAATACTCACCCATGGGAGTAAACAGTAGACACACTAATTGTGCCCTCATCAATTGTCAGCTCCTCTTGTTCATTCAACATCTGCTTGCTAACAGAACAATCAGCAAGGCTGCATGTTCTTACACAGGGAGATCGATTGTGGGATGCCATGGTACCAGCATCAGCCAGCCTCTGCTGTGACTGAGAAATGCTAGTTTCGCTTCCAACAGGGAACAACCTTGGTTGCAATAGATTCTGTGTGGCAACCAGGTTACTATTTGTCTTGTAAAAGACACCAGCAGTATGACCTGTAGCGGGTGGACTGTGCAGACTTAATGGGGAAGGAGGTACAACTGGAACTCTACTTTCATCAAGTTGTTTGGAGAACACATGTGCAGGAGGAGCAGAATCATTTTTCACTACATGAGGTGGGACAGATAAACCATTTGGAGGGACTTGGCTGTTGTTCTGCTACAAACAATTTTTTTAACCAAAAAGAAACAGAAAAAGAAAGCAAAAAAGATAAATGAGTAAGCTTATCAGAAAAAAAGACTAGCAAAATAAGAAAAAGTATGCAAGCAGGATTATGATGAAGTAATTTTGAGCCCCTAGTTTCATAATGGTAAATGCACATGTTTGTTCTTCATTATGATTAAAAGAAAATATTACCAGCCAAGAATCCAAAGCACAACATTGAAAGATTTTTTCAGTTTGCAGAAATAACAAAGGGATCGCAAGCTTGGTGCGACCAGACACATTGCTTCTGATTTTGTTAGGCAATCATTTTGGCACAGATGAAGCAGAACAGCAAGGATAGTAGGATCCATGCAGCAGTCTACAAGCACAACTCATCTTGCAAACAGTTAGTTTCTTTTTAGTTGGTTGCTACAATCTAAATGTTAATGAATCTATCTAAAAAAGAAAAGAAAAGAATTAAAAGGTCAATTACAAAGACAGTTCAAACCTCAGGTTGTGGACTTTATGAGACAGAAAAAATTATAGAGATATTGACTAAGAAGTCATTATACACTTCTCGTAAAGTCGCCTTTTTTAAAATATCCTAGTGACATAATTAGTCTCTATATATGACTGTTGCTATAATCAGACTATGTTTGAGGAAAATCCTAAGCCGTTCCGATGTATTGGAGATCATTGACTATCTCAACGGGAGTATTCATGCACCATGGTCACCTAAAAAGCATTACTCAAGGACATTTTGATGATTGGAAAGAGTTCAAGCATGTGAAATTTTGTCACACTAGGAGATATGTGAATGTGGTCACCCACCTCTTTGCTTCGTTTTGGCAGAACCGAAAAAGCTACACACTCCTGGGTTTTAATTTCAATCTTAGTTTGTCGTTGGACACAGGTCCAATTTAAGGTTAATCTAGTGAAGACTTTTCTCTAAAAACATAATAACATGATAAACTTTACTCCATCATAATAGCATGTGTGAAAGAACACATTCTGCACACATATAGATTGTGCTTTGTGATTTTACCCATCGTATTAACTTGGTATTGTCCGTATTCCATCCTGGGGGTGATGACTCATGCTTCTGTATCTTCTCTTGTAGGAAACGGACGTATTCAATGACCTGAAGAAAGTTTGCTAAAAGACGTCAATGCGAAGGAACTCCATTGTAGAAAGAAGAAAAACATTGTGCTTAAATACCCTTGGCATGATGAATTACCTCCATGAGAAACGAAGCTTTATCCCTCCTCTGATCGCTATGAGGTATGAGCTCCCTGAGTATTTGAAATCTGCACAATATTTTTATGTTCTAGTATAAACACACAAGTCTAGGAAAATAAATGACTAGTATATAACTCTACACCTTGGATTTCATTAAATTTAGAAAAAAAAGAAGACAAGTAAATAACTCTACATCTTGGATTTATGTATTTTGTGTACTATCCATAATTCCATGTAAAGGTCAATCCAAAAAAGCAGCAGACTGAAGAATGAAGTCAAACAAGAAGGCCGATTAAATGATGAAGTAAAATCTATGTTGTCAATCAAATGGTAAGAATCATAAAGTTGGCATCCACTTGTGGAAATTATCTTCCCAATTTAACAACACGTCACCTATAAAACTTCAGTCATATTAACTCAGATATGGTTATAATATTTGTGCTCGGAGAAGGCTAAAGCATTCGACTAAATACACCTTCTAGCACAATACTTTGTCATGATTTATCGATCTTTACATAATTTTTTGTTCAATATACTTGAAACAAAAACCATGTCAACACCAATAGAACCACAAACATGTTCTACAATACACTGTCTATAATGAACTACACAGTAGGTAAATGCAAATTCTAGTTCTAAGGAGCACTATAATTTGTTGGATCCTCAGTCTAATATTGTCATTGCATGACACTCCAAAAAAAAACAGGAAAATAAGGAACTGAACGAAACTAGATTTGGTAACAAAACAAACATTTTTCGTTGACTTGCCTATCATTGATTTTGCTTCTTCTTCTCTGCTCTGTGGCAGAATGCTTTGATCGTGGGTTGTTTGGTCTCTGATCGACGCAGCTCGCTTTTCCATCCACTTTGATGGTCAAATCTGCATCCCATTGTAAATAAAATGAATAAAATCAGATGATTTTGCTCTAAAGATAAAGCAACACAAGTAACAAAATTTCAGCTTCTATGGCTCCAAGAAGCTGGATAAGGAACAATATGAACGAAGCAAAAAAGGAGCCACCTTTACTGGCGGAAGAGCCTTCCCTCTTTGTAAAATCCTCATCTTCCACTCCATCATAAGCTCGACTGGATCTCGATGTGGCAGTCTCTGTCAGCTGCTTCTTCTCTGGCGTTGAGTCCTGCCTGTCAAACAGTTGCCCACACAGTTCAGGCAAGAAAAGCCTCTAGAAAATAGAGGGATGAAGAGGAAGACAAAGGATACGAACCTGCCAGTGGTGGCTGCGGCTATGGCGACGGTGGCGGGGATGGGTCCAGAATCGTGGCATTCGCCTGCGGCAGCAAAGTGTGACGTCCTCTGCCCTGCCATGAAACCAACCAGCACACGATATGCTAAATTTTATGATAATTCAAAGATCCCAAATTGAATTTCATAGTATTTTTTTATTTATGCAATTTGATCTCTGATATCTAAAATCTTGTTCACTATTTTTTTCTTTTTTTGAAAAATATTTTGATCTTAAATCATAATGCACTCACGAGTGCTCCTTTTGGATTTGCAAATGAATACAAATTTTTGTATTATTTTCCTCATTCTCTTCTAATTTCTATTCCTAATTCATTTGAATTATTGTATATATATATATATATATATAGTACTTCTTTCACAATCAAAATAGTAATTAAAGCTTCATAAAAAAGCTTTTATGTTTCATAAGAGAAGAGAATAGTGAACAAAGAACTATAATTACAAATTAATTTGGGCTTCTACTTGGGCTTTTGCACGGGAACTGTATGGCCCCATGGAGGCCCAATAATCTAACGAGTCTATCACGTGCATATATCAACATCTGTTTTTGTTTTCAGAAATCACAACAAAATTTGCTTTCGGGAAACGGATTCGTTTCTAAGAACATGAAGCGAGCGAGGAAAACACTGCTATTTTTTTTGTCTCGAATTGAAAGTAGAAAACGATTTTTTGTTTGCGAAAAAGAAAATAATTAACTATAAATAAAAAAGGTGATGAAAATGTTACCTCCCGAATCCGTGTCGTTGTCGTCCCACGGCGTGTAAGAAGTGCCGCCGGCGTGGCGATAGCTGGCGGTGGTGGTGGTCCGGCCACCGTATTCGGGTTCGGGTTTGGTCTGTAACCCGGCAGGGAAACCCGGCGCCTCGCTGCACCCTCTCCGCTGCGGCTTCACCGCGCCCGCCGCATGGCCGATGGCGTACGTGCCCACCTCGCCAGGAAGCGGTTGCTCCGCCGGCCTCTCGACCGGGACAGCGTCCTCCTCTTTTCCCCGCTCTGGCGGTTGAAGGAAGTCTCGCGTCTTCAAAAAGAAGCCTGGAAACACATTTGCAACGACGAAGAGAAAAAAGACAAAAATTGAGAGAAAAGAAGACGACGATTTCATCAGTAGACAGCATAATTCCAAGTTCTACATCAGTTACTACAAATTATGGAGCTACTCGGTGGACGGGTACCTTGTGAGGGAGGCCTTGGATCTTGGAGCTGCAATGACGAATCCGAGGAGTAAAGCGAAAGGAAATCATGAGTTACTTTCTTCCCTGTTTACGCATATGAATTATCGATTCAATAAGCGTCATAATTGGGCGTTAAATTGCAAGAACGCATGGAAGAACTTTTAGTACCCTGCCCTACCTTGGACCTCCATCTATCTTCTATCTTTTGCAGGTTATCCTCAGCAATTCATCACAGAAACTGTAGAATTGCGCCCAACTTCTTCTCTCCGAGAAGCGAAATCCCAAATTCCTGCCGCAGAATTACGATCAAATCAGAAGCCTAGGAAGAATCTTCTTGGTTCTCCGCCGGAGAAGTCGAACCCGATCGCATTCAGGGGAGCAGAACGGATCCAAGCAGAATGAGAAAATCGAACTATGAGATCGATGTGATGATTCCCAATGGAGAAATTTGGCCTTCACGGAGGAGAAGCGAGGGGAGACCCCTTCGAGATCTTAAAACGCCGCGCTTCGGTGAACTCCCGTCTCTGCTCTCGCTTTTTACATATCCTTTTCTCAACCCTTCTTTTCCGTCACCGAAAACGCCGTTGACGGTATCTAACGGCGGTTTCTCTCCCGTTTCTGCCCATCGCCGCGTGGGTGAAACTACGTACCGATTTGGCTTTCGATCCGTATTACCGCGGGCGCTACATTAGCGATCGTACGGCCGTGATCTACAGACGGAGGCGATGGGTGGGATCACGTGCCGTACGGCAGTTTGACTGCGGTTGGTCGCTGACGTATCAGTTTAACGAAAGCGGATAATTTAGCAGGCGATGATTAGGCGCTAATCCCGAGGAATAATAAAAGAGGATTACTAGTTTCGATAATAATATTTACTTGAAGGAGGAGAGGAAGAGATTAGATAAGGGACAAGTACAGCAGAGCATGTTGGGGACGTGGGTGGAAGGATCACGTGACGCTCATGTGCTTAAGATTCTCCCACCTCTCTTGCACAATTCATGAGAATTTTATCTGCTTTGATCCATCAAAAAAATTGCATATCTTAGGATAAAGCTCACACGATGTTTCTCTTTCAGGTTGATGTTCCTACAGAGAAGTATGTTGCTAATAATCTACAATGTATCTTGGCATAAGCAATTTTTCTCTGGAAGAAGAATTTGATCGATGTTAGACTAAATATGATCCATTAAAACTTGAGTCAGATCCTCTTTAGATCCCGTATCTACTCTGGCTAATAAATAATTACTTGTTTTAAAATGAAAATCTAACCATTTTATTATTTCGGAATAACGGTAATTGTCTACGTGGTGGACTAACCATGACCTCACCATCCACGTACGTCTCGGCAAGTCATCGGTCATCTGTTGAGACGAGCCCCACCGTCTCTTCGACCCCTTTCTCACGTGTCCTTATCCTCCTCCACTGTCTGCTACACTATTTATGTGCAAGATTCAATCGGATGAAACCATTCCTGGATCACTTTGTCAACCATCACCTGATCTGTGAATGCCAACCAGTAGATGATAAGGTTCTTTTCTCTTTTTCTATGGCATAGAAACAGCTGGTTTCTGAACCTATTTGTTTGAGGGAAAGATAATAACCTTGCTGCTGTCGATGCTGGAACTCCCGTGATCACATTGGGCAAGGAGACAAAGTAACTGGAAAAGCTCAGGCACTTGTGTTGGCTTTTATATCGGAAACTGACGAAAATAGCTTCAGATACAAAACAACAATCGAAATGAGCATTTAGAGGAGATAAAATAGATGAGATACGCAATGAGGTTGAATGGAAATCCTCGGAACTCGGATGAGATCAAAACCTGTGGCTTTCCCACCATTACCTCAGTTGTAGGTCATGCATTGCACGGCTCCGAAGAGATCTGAGATGGTCACAATGTGTTTCAGGTCTACGTCTCTCCAGTGGCAGGATGCAGTCTCTCTCCATGGCAACATCTCACGTGCAAACAGTAACAAGCTCTTCCTCCAGCAAATAGTAATCAGGGCTTCTCTTCTGTTGTCGCAGCTGACTTCTCCACCCCCCTCCAGTGATTTTGTTAGTTTCTTGCAGATTATTGCTTGGAAACGAGTGTCGATCAAGCTTACATAAAATATTTGTCTGATCAAGTAGTATATTCTACTGACAGCATCTCTCTTTCGTGGATAGCTGAAAACTACACCCTCCCAATCATTTCTGGCATCTCTCCTTCCAAGAGAGAACGTTACGGAAACTGGCTTCACCATGGTCCACGCATATATAAGATCATGTCCTTTAGGGAGAGCATGCTTGCAACATCTATCTGTCTCTATCCACACACCACAAAATATATGTATATACATCTACCTAGTCTCAATCGTCTCCATAACCTATGTCCCCCACCCAAGTGACTTATGCTAACAAAAGGACATCTCAACAAAAAATTGACACGTCCGTAGAAAAGAAGACTCCCACAAAGCATATATTTTGTGTCGATTCCAGACTTGTTGCGTGACACATCCGACAAAGAGTGGGTGGTCGGAGGACTACTTTTGTGTTGCTGTGGCCACTCCGTGAACCACACGCATCACTACTGTTAGGCAGTGTTTAATGCATCTTCCCTTGTGAAAAGGAGAAGATAAGGATCACATGGACAGGGATGCAAATTCCAGTTCATGCGAGGAAGCAGAAACCAGAAACAAACACTTGAGCATAATAAGGAAAAGAAGAGGAGTTTGCAGCAGTAGTTGGGGGTTTAATTACACAGGTTTTTGTTTGGATCGGTGAAAATTCTGTTCTAAGGTTTCAGCTCAGGGATGAACAGTATATTATAATTTTATTTACCCCTCTCTCTCTCTCTCTCTCTCTCTCTCTCTCTCTCTCTCTCTCTCTCTCTCTCGCCCTTTATTTTCTGGGAAGACAGGAAATGTTGTTGTTTCAAGTGGATCAAACAAATCATCCAAGTATTGTTGCATTTGAATGCTTCCATTATTTGCCGTGATTAACATCTACAACTATTCTCGTCATTTGCTTATTTGTTATCCCATGCATTGGCACGCGTCTGGGGATGGTTGGCGGATGAGTTGGCGCCACGTGATTAAGGGGGGAAAGGCCTCGCTCACACGTTGCCTCACGAATCACGTGGCCAACTCACGGCGGGTGGCGTAGTGGGTCCCGTAAGGTAGGAGGTTAAAAATAGGGCGCGCGGATGGGACGAGGGTTGCCACATCTTTCTTTACCCCAAAATGACCCAACCTGCGTTGCCATTCGTTCGTAAAGGGTGGGCTCTCTTCCTGAGATCACCGAACAGGTCGTCAACCGCGTACGCAACGTGCGTGCGGGAAGACTATTTCTAGTGGCGCTGTGGGGACGTCGCGAAGTGGTGGAAGGAGGTGGAGGATCGGTGGGGCCCAGAGGCGGCTGGGCACGTGACGATGGTGGGGAAGGGCGAAGGTCACGTGCGGCCCAGACGGGTGCTCTTTGTCGGGAAGCGGAACGAGTTGACGGGCGTACAATCCGTGAAAACGGCCGTTAGGAACGGAACGGAGAACGGACGTCCCGTTTGCCGTCTGTTAAGTGCTTGCTCTCGTCGTGTCGTGAGTGGTGGCGGAAGGCGGAGCGCGCGGAAGCAGCGGAGCTCGTCGACGTCACATGCGAGCGTGACGACAACACGGTGTCACTCGGTGACGTCGACCGTGGCAGAGAGATTATCTCGTGCGGTGGAATTCCCGCTCCATGTCCCGCCACGTGCTGTGGGGCAGGAAAGGGCGACCAGTCTCCATCGGGCGCGTGGTTCAGACCCCTCATGATCGCCTAGGTGGACGCCGCCCTCACGTGACGCGGCTCCCTTCTCCCTTCCTTCCATGCAGGGGGTGGCCCCACATTTCTCACACGTGTTGCTGACGTCCGGTCGAACGCTCCCACCATCTTTTGGACGCATGCATGCATATTTATCACCTCATTTCTAAAATTTCACACAGTTTTTTTTTTTTTTTTAATATAAAAATATTTTAATTTCTATCTTTTTCCTCCCCTCTCTTACGTCGAACTTGTCGTTATCCTCATAACCCTACTGACTCTCATCAATCTTATCGGTACATATGCATCTCGTTTTTGTCATCCTCGCTTGTGACATATGTAGTTAGCAACATAGACTTAATGACCTAGAGCCTACCCATAGAGGCAAAGACGACTAACGATGCCTATAACACTAATAGAGATGCAGGTAATCACCTGATCACTCAAATCCAACCACCTATTGCACGAAAGTACAGAAGACTACTCACGACCAACGATAGAAGACAGAAGCATAAGGATAAAATTATTATTTAGAAGAAAAAAAACTATGAGAAAATTTGTAAAAATGAAGACTTCGATCTACATACTGAGTTTAATTTTTAGGACATTCATTGTTACAAGCAATCAATAATCGTCCGATCATCATCAAAGGCAAAACATATAGCTTATCAAACAGTATAACTGAGGTGACTTTTTAAAGATATTTATCATAAAGAGAAGTAAACAACTAATAACAAACTACTTTTGCAATAATAAAAAACCCAACCTTGAATGAAAGAACTAAAGATACAGAGACTATCAGCAGATCTTTTTAGTAAGTCATAATTCCAGAGTATTATAGGTCATATGAATAAGTAGTTTGGTATATGTAATTATGAATCGAGTGAGTGCGTCGAAAATTGATTCATAATTAATGGTCCGAGTGATTTTAGTAGCTCTATTTTCTCTCCTGATATGGTTGAATACTAACCATGGATTTGATTAGTAATGTTAATTTCCTCTTACATTATAACTATTTTGGTGTTCTTCTATGGTAGCATTTCCTCTCAATTCACTTGGCTTGCTCCACCACCCCAACCAAGCGCAAGATGCTCAAAGGCAGTGATGAAGCCTTTTGTATGAAATATGCAACACCTTTGAAGCAACATGAACTTTCAGTCAAACCAGCAACAAGGACTGCAGGATAATGGTTTCATGCTGCATGCACTTCTTGAGGTTTACTGTTGAATTCTATGAGTATAGAGATTGGTACTGCTGCTACATCTCATTTGCACAACATTGTGGAGCTCTTCATCCCATGCATTAGACACCTGCAAATGCTTAGAAAGCTCAGTGCCACAAAGAAAAGCAGTCAACTGTGTGGACTGGAAAATACAACTTTTAGGAAAACAAAACCATAATGCAGAAATCAGATTGAAACAATTTCCTCTACAAAGTTCAAATAATTATCATTTTATATCCAAGGAAAAAGCCTTTTGGTATTCTAATGAATCTATTAAGTTTTTGCTGTTTAGTGTATGCAGATGTGATATATAGGTGGACCAAAGGAGGTTACTTGGTTCTTTTCTCAGTGGATAAAGGAGAAGAAAAAAAATGATGTGGTAATTGGGCAAATAGAACACTTCCTGAAAGTAATCCAGACATAAAAATTCATGCTGACAAGTAGCATCTTATTTCAGCTCAGTCTACTGCAAGGCTATACTGACAAGAATAACAGAGCATCATGTATTATGGTCAGTGGTTAGAAGTTTTTGTGCATTTTTGACTTCACTTTTTGTGGATCCCTTTGTTTCTTTGAGTTGAATTCATTTTGTCATCTTAATATTCTTGAGGAATCATAAATTGCTCATGAACTGGTCAAGAATTGTATTTAAAGATGCACAGAACAAATGAGCCTTCCTAGTTTGCCACAGTCCTGATGAAGTCAGTGAATTGACTATACCTGCATGTTATATCCATCTTCTGCAGTCATTTGAGTATCTATTGATCTTCCAAGTAAATCTGGAGGGTTTCTGGGCCCAGATAACGCAGATTGGATCAAACCCTGGTGTGGCAGATGTAGTTGCGGATGAATTATGTCTGATGAGAAACCAGCAGCAGCTGAGGGGCTATTGCAGGGCTGAAGTAGCTGCCAGAGAAAGAGAGAGGCTTTGATGTGATGATAAATAAGCAATACTCATCAATTAGATAAGGCTGTATGATCAGCATAACGAAGCCACATACATATTTAGGAAGAACTCCCTCTCTGTCAATGTCCAGCCTTGGATTGATAGCTGCAAGCTTCATTGACAGGAACTGGGAATCAAAAGAGGAAGTTATTTGTTGCTATAAAATTGTCAGCAGGAAATCTGAGAAGATGTCTCAAAATACAGCAGAAAATGTTTATGTTATGAAGGATATATACCTCAACCTGCTGTTGTAGTGATTGAACGTAGTTGATGATCTCATCCAGCATTACTGCCTTTCCTGTGACCTGTGTTCATATGTCGAATGGTGATAAGGATAGATAGAATAGGGAGTTCAAGAACCATACCTTGCTGCAACCAGGAACAAGGCCTTGAAGAAGCTTCATCCTCTCATTGATCTTTTCCCTTCTTACCTAAATTGCACATATCGGTCCATATCTATCAAGAAAGAAAGATTGGCTCTTATAGAATCTGGGACTCTAATGCTGGCAAGATCTTACTCTTTCTGCAAGACTGTGGTTGCTTGTTGCCTGGCCATGCCTAGCCCGGACGTGAACTAGATCTGATTCAGTGATGTCTTTTACCTGCTTCCGTTTAGGATTAACAGTAGCCACCGTCAAACTCTTTCGCTCGGATTTCGGTTCATGATCCTCTTCCATCTCCATAGGTATCTGACAGGATACTTGTGCAGGTTGAGATATCTACTTGTGATCAATGGAAGGCAACGACAAAGAAGACAGACAAACGAAACATATCTGAGAGAAAAGGATCTGAACTACCTCATTTGCTCTTCTCCTTGTCGTAGAGGAAGAAGAATTCCCAGCTGCAGTGGCCAGATTAGATGGATCTTCTTGGTGAACACCAGTGCGGTTAGGCTGATGATGCATGTCCTTTTGTTCCTTCATCAGACTGCCATTCTTGGATACATAATCAGTAGATAATGAGGAAATTCTGACAGCTTCCATCATGTCGATTTTGTTCTTCTTCTGCATCTGAGCTCCAGAGTTATCTCTTGATGTAGTTGCATCGAAAGGATTCATCATGTAGCAAGAAAACTTTGCAGTTGATCTCTCAGTGAAATCTGAAATCAGCTGGGAAATCTAAGCTATTTTTGCATGATTTCAAGCTTGTGGACAGGTTCTAAAGCTCACTGCTGAATGACTCATCCATGGAAATTGATGAGCATTAGACAGCGGTTGAAGGATTGCTGGGAGTCAATCAGAAGAATATCCAGAGTTGCAGCCCATATTATCCTCACTCCTAACTGAGTTCAGCACAAACTATATCAATCAAAAATTGAGAAAGAACAGCTGCCTGCTGTAATCTCAACACTGTCACTGATCAGTAGCACACATTTGGCAAAGATAAATCTGCTCACAGATAAAAAAAAATGGAGCCAATGAATCTATCAAATAGCAGAATCACCTACTCCACACATCAGTAAACTGCTGACAAGCATATGAAGTGAAGATTTTTACCTGCCACAACAAGTTGCATTAAATCAAATCATTCAAATGTGTAGATTATATGGCATTAGAACCACTTGCAGAAGCTAAAATTCACCAAACCCACCTTTTCAGAAGAGAATCTTAGAAAAGTCAGACACCCATTCAAAGACAACTCAGAAAACCAAGATTGCTCCACTGCCCATCAAACTTTCCTTGGATTTCACAATGTAGGAGATCAAAAGGATGGATATATGAGTGATGATACGTTAGGCCAAAGATTCCAAGCCCTAGGAGTTGAACAGGGACACAAGTACCCAGCTGTGACCAGAGGTGAAAAGACTACCAACCAGAGAACCCTCGCTTCTCAGCAATCATTGAAGGAAGCTGAATAGAACTTGCCCTTCTTGACTCAGTGCAAACATTCATGGTCACCACTGTGCCGCATAATAACACTTCTTGACCCACTGCAGAGTGAAACAAACCCTACTGAAGCATGTGTAAGTAAAAGGACTATCGAAGGCAAATTATGTAATCCATTGTAGATTCGATTCTACTCTCTATCACAATGCTATGAAGAGAGAATGCAACTGTCTACCAATGCTTATAAGAATATTGGTTAGCATACTCACACCACAGGAAGACACCCTTAAGACCTGAGTCCCCCCAACTCATAATCCCCAGTCTCTTTGTTCCAAAGAAATATTATACCACCAGCTTCTCTTTATCTTTCATAGGCATTGTTGGATTTTGATCCTTTTATCTTTGTTTCTTTACTTGGCACAGTACAGGCCTTGAGTTGGCACATTTGCCAACCACTCTTGTGATGTTTGGGATCTCAAAAAGTTCTGTCATAATGATTTGGCACATTTGGAGTTGCCCCTCTCAGAAAAAAAAAGTATATAATAACTTGCATAGAAATGGAACCCATGTACCACTGCATTTTATATCATGTAAGATAACAGTGGCACCACTTAGCATCTGAACTCTCAGTTACTGTTTGATAATGAATAATATGCATCTAACTATGCTTAAAGATTGTATTAGCCTACCTTGCATATCTGATTGATTCATTCTTTGGTGTGACTCCAATTAGTGGAACTCAGGCTTCACTATCCTCTTGCATATTATTTCTACAATTTTATGGATGACAAAAAAAAAAAGATAAAAGACATGATTTAGCACTTGTGTTTCCTTTCTTTTTTGTTCTTTGGAACAGTCAAAGTAGCTTAAGAGTTATTTTGTGCCTCATGAGAAATTTTAGAGTATAAATTCATACATGTTTTCAGGAAAGGTAATAAACCTGCAAACTAGCTTGCAAATTATGCAAGATCCAGGAACATTTGATTTTGATTTTTTGGTTCACTATGACACAAGCAGTATAGGATTTGTTAGATATTAAGTAATTTATTTTATTCTTTGTTTGGAAAAAAAGGCAGTGAAATTGCACCTCAGAGTCAGCAACAGCTGAGTAATTTGCTGTTGACACAGGAATCATGCACAGTGGAACCACTTGCTCTTCCAATCATTGCAAGGAAAGACCATGGATAGTGCATTCAAACAAAAACTGGATCTCTGAAGAAGAGGGAGGGAAAACTCTGTGGGGAGTCTTTGTTTATGTTGCAAGTAGTACTTGTAGGGCCATTCCCAAGGAGTTCTACTAATATTTTCAGAGACAGTCTCTGATACAAAGAGAGGAGTTCAAGGGGAATCTATACTCATCCTTGCATGTAATTATTAGGTCACATTGGAACTTGAGCATCTTGCTTTGTTAATTACTGCAGATTAGGTGCCTAATTTTATAGCATTCAGGAACATGATCTCTGTCAATGAGATCTGATTCACAAGACCTTCCTTTGCTGGTGTGCTGGCTGCCATGGAGTTTACTCTTCCATTTTTCCTCCCTCCTAGTTGATGAAATCTGTGTTCAAGGATGATGAACAGAAATATCAGTAAAGAAAAAGTGGTCCATCTGTTGCAAAAGTTTCTATTTTCAGATTCACATATATGAATTTCTAATTTACAGGTTTTTTGCATTAAGTATATTTGTATATATATAAAAGCATTTTTTATTTATCGCTCTAAATTTAAGCTAAGCACATATATAAATTTGCAGACAAATGTATATGTTATTGTGGTTAATTTTTGTTAGTTAATTATCATTTGACTATTGGTTAAAACTCTAAATGAGATTAATCCATCATAAAAACTCATCATGTTTCTCAGAATATTAGGAGTATTTTAGGTATTCAGATTCTTGAGGTAATAAATGCTGCATACAGGCATGTCATACTGCTTTTTATATGTTGACATCTTCCATCTTTTCTATTCATAGAATTCCTTGATTTTTGGTGAAAACATCAAATACAAGTGTTTTCAGAATGGGAAATAGCAAAGGTTATGTGAAGCAATTTATTGCAGTCTAATCTAAAACCTAAAGAATTTTATGTGGTTGATTTAGTTGCAAGGCATTGTTTCCCCAAATTCTCTTAATTAGATTGTGTCCCTACTATCTTTCAAACATGATCTCAGTCTCCTTTCTTTCTACCACATTTAGTGCAATTCCATCCTGGAATCAGCCTATTTGACAGCACTCTATTTTCACATCTAGCAGAATAATGGAGAACTACAAATGTAAAATAGTTTGGGAAAGTGTTTGATGGATTTTCAAACTTGCAGGGGATGCATATGATCATATTTTGTCTTAAAACAATTTCACATTCATGATCATTCATACACCTACCACTTCAAATTCTTTGTGAATGGATTTTGCAGCAATCTGATGCCACAAACTCTGAACTCAAAAAGCCATAAGTGAGTCAATTCATGAGGAATTGTGTCACTGGGGTGCTGAGTTCCTTTGCATTCCTCTGCTGCTGGGGTTGCTTGCAAGCTGGAGTAGGAACCTGATCCCTCTCACATATGCCAGTTTTCCATCTCTCTCTTCTAAGGAGGCAATCTTGTAGCAAACTCATATTTTGGTTTTATGTATTGGTGACAGCAATGTCAAAATGAATAAGAATGACATTAAGCTACACCAGGTTCCTGAATATGTGATTGATGATCATTATCTGCATCATAAACAAGACAGTATTGAGTCAAAACATGAAGATGATCTATGGGGCAATTATAACAACACACATGTTTCCTTAACACTAATAATAACATTTTAGGTACAAGCATCCAAGCGATCCCTAGAGTCAATTGCTGCATGATGGTCTTAAGTCTCTGCACAAGAAGCAGCAACATCCATGCATGAACTGCATATTTTCAAAAGTTGGCTGAAGGTGGTGGTGGGGTTGGCAGTACCAACCAAGGATGATCTCTCTATATATGATTGAAAGCATTCAGACATGAGGAGAGGAATTCCTGAGTTTTTAATGTGGCTGTCACATCTAAGGAAGAATCATTTTATCAATTATAGACCTAAATAATTAGTATAAGAATATCTTTGAGAATCTGGTAGCTTTGAGAAAGCACTCACGAATGAAAGAAGTGTAAGATAGGTGAAGGGTATACAACTCAAGCTCATGAGGAGGCAAGTTTAGAGTTGAAAATGATGTGACCTAAAAAGTTTCTTTGAACCATTGACACCTGCTGGCTCCTAACTCACAATCCTAGAGTGGCATGTCCATATCAAATATAATGTATAGATTGAGTAAGAATCCTTATTTAAACACAATAACAACAGTAATAATAAAATCGTAAGTCCAATTATTTGGAGTCGGTTATATGAATCTTTTATTGTCATTGAGATATGTAAAAAATCATATGTTTAATTCATAATACTTAAATCTTTATTTATGTTAAAATAGAATATTATTAGATTTGTTAACGTTACAACGAACTTAGCTCGTCAAGCATCTCATAAGAATTAGAGTAAATATGTATCAAACCTTACCTAATACTTGGAAGGCTGCTAGTCTATGAACAAGTAGGCCATCTGTAACTAAAAAAATTGATGACCTCCTCATGGAAAGAAAAACAAAAAATCATACCAAAAATACATAGACATTATGAAATTCATTAGGTCTAAACATTAGCTATGACAATAAATACATGTTTAGCAAATAAATTACTTATTTCTTGGTTTGTTTGGATGATTGCCAGATGCCTAAAGAGAGAAGGAAATGCCACTTGCAATTGGGCTAGTGTTCCATATTCAATTCAATATGAATCAACTTTAAAACATTGTTTCTTTCTCTTAGATGATACACAAGAAAACATACAAACCTCCTCCTTCCTAAAACACTTTCAAGAAGCAGCAGAGGAAGTCTGCAAAAGAATTGAGCTTTTAGCAAAATGTTCCATGACATCCTTCCAGATATACCTTGACCTGATAAGAGGATAAATGCTCATGGTTAGAAAATTTCTAATGTGAAAGTCATAAAAGATATATTCTTAATGTAACCTTGGCTTATAGGGCCATGACATTAAAGTTATGAATTTGATCAAATAAGGAACAGGTGAATGATTTATTCTTACTGAAGCGGTTAACATAAACATAACATAATGTCCAAAAATAAGATTGTTGACATGAAGATAATAATAGCACTATCAATATACAAGAAGTCTTGAAAGATGGATAAAAGCATAAGCATATGAGAGTATTTATCAGAAGTAGGTGCAATGACTAAAACAAGTCGAGACCAAAAAAGAAGTACAATAACAATAATATGACAAATGATCAAAAGAAATCTGAGGAACAAGAATAAAATTTACAACACAAAGAAAAAGAGATCGATAATGGTATTAAGAGAATTTTATTTGATAGTTAAACAATATTGTTATGAGATATTTTGTTAGGCAAATTAAGAACATATTTTTATGCCTGATTATCCATCCTCACCAAATGGGCCTGAATTTATGGATTATTTCAGTGGCATAAATAATATGTCAACTTTTCTGGGAAATGACTTCCTTTATGCCCCTCATCTTAATATAAATATAAAGCCAGTGTCACAGAAATACACCAATCAAACATTCCTTGCATATCTTCTTTCATTTTCATCCTCTTTCACCTTGCTTGAACACTTGCTCCAACTATCAACCCTCCAGTAAAATGAACTCTACCCTCTCATTCAAGCATTTATCTATCCTCATCTCATTAAGCACATGCAGCTGCAATGTTCCAAGCTTTAAGCTCACAATCCTTTCATCAATTATACATGATCCAGATTCATGCTTGCGGCAAACCTTTATCAGTATCCTGTTCTCACCTCAGGGGAAATGCTTGTCATTGTTAAACAACCAGCACCTCATTTAATGGTAGTGGATGTGATGCTATTGGGGGTCCATTCCATTTGCACTCTAGTGTCCAGTCTTGATCAGACAATCATGATGGGGATGCTCCTCTGGACATGCTTGGAAAACACAAACATGAAAACTGAGCCACTCGTTCCCTGGTATTCCACAAGCTGGATGGTTATCTCATGGATGTGTGTTCTTATTGCCTGTTTAACAAAGTGTGAAATGTTTGAAGTAGGTCTCTTACCCTTTGGTCTTTTAGCACTATAAATAACCTCCATATCCTGTTCTTTCATGCTTCCATTGCTCACCTCAATTCTTTCTTTGTAACAACTCTTCCTTCCAAAGCTGTTCTTACCTTATGCAGTCTTTTTGAAATGAGACAACCATGCACCATGATGAGGTTGATAGCATTTGGTATCTTTCACCTTCAAACCTGCCTTCCTTCCAAGCCCATTATAGTATGGCTCCAAGTGACATCTCATCCTTCCAGTTTAGGAGTCTCTTCAGATCTTTTTCCACTTATGATTCCAGGATGTATGCTGATTGCTATCCAAGCTCTTGTTATAACACTCACTCAGCTGCAGATGAGGAAGATGAAGATAAATCAAGCCTCATCGAAGAGAGGAGGAAGAGAAGGATGATATCCAACAGAGAGTCTGCTCGACGATCGCGCATGAGAAAGCAGAAGCAATTCAATCAGCTGTGGTCACTAGTCATTCACTTCCAATCTGTGAACCACCAACTCCTCCACAAAGTAAACAACATGATGAAAGAGTGCCATCACATCCTCCATGAGAATATAAAGCTTAGGGACAAAAAGCTTGAGCTCCTAAAGGAACTTGAAAATCTAGCAGCTGAGTATAATTGTGTCTCACAGGTCTAGAATAACCCAGCTTGCATGAGACTTGAACTAAAAGTTGTCTGGTTTCACCTGAGATGCTCTTTTGGGGCCTTCATTTCCTCAATAATTACATTTTTGTTCTGCTCATGCAGTCCACCTAATTCAAGCTGCACACCAAAATTCAGAATGATGCATTCAATAGTTTTTGTGACAACCATTTTCATAAAATTTCAAACCAGATTTTCAACAAGTGATGTATGGAGCTTTCTTGGTCCATCAAAGTGGCAGCTGCATGCAAAACTAGTCCAGTTTCATATCATTTTATATGAAAGACAAGTAATTTAACAGCTGCCTCCTTTCATAGCTTTCTGTGTCCTACTATCCTGGCTGCAATAAGCCATAAGCACAAAGGCAATAAAATAAGTACCACGACAACACATAAATATAACTTCCCTTTTGTCTTCATCACGTTGTCCTCCAAGTCACCATTAAAAGCTTTTTTTGGAAGATTATTTATTGTTGGCTGTCATTGTGGTTTCTGCTTCCAGTGCTGACTAGTACTGATCTTCCAGGTATTTAATTGGGTCAGAGATGATTTTGGACAGGGCTATCTAAATAGAACCACAAAACTGTGGTCAAATCCAAATTCAATTTGAAATATAAACTTATAAAGAACCATGAAATTTAACCATTTGACTTTGTCCTCATCATCAAAAGTGTGTTTCATGGTCATATTGCCCCCTGTAAATTAATTGTAGAAAAAAATAAAAGTCGGTGAATGCAGAAATGGAATATTATGTACTTCACAAGTTAAAATGTATATCATGGTCTAACAAAGCTTTAAATTAAAAAAGCTTTGCGATGGATGTAGGTTATTAGTTACCAGAAAATATAATAACCTCAGAATGCTCTATCTTGATTATGCAATGACAAATAAATGAAACAGAACAACAAAAACCATGCTGAAAGTGGAATGATGTAAAATAAGACCCTCACTACTGCTTAGAAGTTATGAAATTTTGTTCTAAAGACAACCAGCATAGATAAAGGTCATATGGAGTTTATGATATTAACAATATATTCTATCAACATAATATGATAGAGGGCATGTAAACTAAATTTTTTAGATTATCAAACTCATGAAATCTAATAGCTCAGATCAGTTTTCAAAACATGGAGAGCCTTGACTTGGTAAAGGTATAATGCATTGCTAATCAACATCAAGAAAGCAGATTTCATTCTGAACCATTAGCATGCCAAAAATGGATTATCTGAATGGAAAATGGACAGAAGCTGATTCAGATGAAACTGTCATAAACGTATTTGTTATTAACAAATTCTTAGAAGATAGTCTTTAGTCCACAAACACATCTGGTTCAATATAGTCACATCAACTTGAACAAACTTTTAGTGGATCATGGACAAAGATATCCAAGATGCTTCATATTAATCTTCAATCAGATCAGTAAATATGTATCTTAATTGCAGAAGTCCACAGTAAAAAGATCTACAAGAGCCAGTTTCATGGATCCACAAAAGAGTATCTGGGTTCTCCCAGTCAATATTTAAATTAGTTAAGAGAATGCATTTAAGACTCTCCTTATGCTTGATTCTCAAAAGTAACTGTGGCCTTTATCTTGGAGCAAGAACTGGGGCCTACCAGTTGCCTACCAAGAAGGATAGTGCATAAAAAGTTATAAACTCATAACAAAGTACTAAAGTTCAAATGTACATCCAAGATATTTGTTTGACATACTGATTGCAAGTGAGCAAGGACAATATCTTTTTTCATCTATAAATTAAACTTAGGAGAATGCTAAGAGAAACTGAAAATTCCTCTGCATATTTGAAGTCCTAGATACTGTGATAAGCTATATTAATTTAGGTTTCAACCATTGAAAATAGATGTAAGCATATAATATGTGAATATAAATTTCCTTCTACCAATATAGACAACAAGTTGTTAGAATCATATCATCTTTTTATGAGTTCATGCATAGTTTGAACTAAATAAAGTCGCAGACTTTACCTTTACCTCCATGTAGGGCTTTCTTGGAAAAGTACTTGGTCCTCAAACATCAGGAATATAAGGGCCCACATATCTTATGTTTCTCATATATTGCAGCTTCTACTTCCCTGTGGATGTTTAACATAATTTTCACCATAACACCTTAAATAAAAAGAAAGGGTGTAGAGACGAGCATCAAAAGTGTTCATAGAATATTAAAGTTGCAAGATTTGAAATGTTAAGAAGCCTAAGAGATGAAGCAACGAAAAGAGTAAGTATGATGGGACATGGAAATATCATCCAAACTATTAGCTGCTATATCTGATTACAAGGCTCATAACATGCATATCAAACCCAGAGTTCTAACAGAATTCCCTTTGCAGGGCAAGGGACTTCATTAACAAGTTGAAATCAAGATGCCTACAGCACTGCATGCAGAAAGCTGAGGTACCAAACGCGAATGATTTTGATGAATGGTGAGGTTGAAGAAGATTGCATCAGGCGACGGCCGACCCGAGGCCCCGGTCGCCGTTATACTGGAGGGGAGCAGGCTTACGGGAGACGCACAACAAGAGAGAGAATACGGTCTTCTGCACGACCCGGATTTCCTCCAATGGCCGCTTTATTTAGAGCCATCGAGAACCACACACAGCACAGGATCCACTGTCTTTAGATGGTGAGTATGGTCCGATCATAATTTAGTTTAGAATTGTAACTGTAGAGGATCCTAACTAGGACTAAACGTATTAGCGAAGAATATACGGAAGAAAATACGTATCGATACCATTATATCGAGGGGTATATACGCGTAAAAACTTGGCCGAGAGGAAGATCACATGATTGACCTCTTGCTATCACGCCACGTGTTTTTTAATCAATCTCAAAGCTATTCTATTCATCCCTCCCCTCTAGCCGCCGCCCCTTTTGCGTCCCTCTCACAGGCTCGCTCTACTCCACCCTCCGTCCACTCCGGCGGCCACCGTCGGCCGCCGCGGCGCCCCCTACTTTCATGCTTAGGGTTGTTGTTCTATGACCTTCTGTAGTTTTGCGCCCATTTTTGTTATGGAAATCTTTCCATTTCCAAGAAAGAACTCATTTTGGAACCCTAACTAGCAACTCCTTTTTCTGTCGTTCGTCATCTCTGCAGTCAAAACTCAGAAAGCATGCATCAAAACTTGTACGTGGACCGAGTTAGGATGAAACTGTTTCTTTTGATGAAAATGTTTTCTTGATTTTGAACTTAGATGTTGGACGCCGTGGTGATCAGTCTTTGCTGTGCTGGGTTTCAGATTTAGGGCCGTCCGGAGATCGTTTGCTAATTTTTGTGACGCGCAGATAGTGCGGAAAAGGGTGGGATGATTCTTTTACCTTTTTCCTTTCCTTTCTTGATTTCTCATGTGAAGTTTAATTGGAATCTCTAAGTTGGAATTTGCCCAACAGGCTTGGAAGAATGGAGTACGTAGAACACAGCCATCTCATGCTTTTTCAGGTTCTCATGGTATGTCACTGGAAGCCTTTTCTGATATGATATACTACAGTGGTATTGGAGAATGTAGTTCATATGTGAAATGAATTATATACGTGTGCTTGGTTATTTTTTTTGTGACAAACCATGAAGAAACTGAATGCCTTTTGTGACAGAGCATGAAGAAACTAAATTCTGTAACTTTACGTTATTTAGGAGTTGATATAGTGTGGATTATCCGTGATGCTTCTTTACTACCTTCATATTGAAGTACCAAAGCACCGATGCTTGATTTTGTCAGATACATTTTTTAAGAAATATTGTTGAATACGTATTAATATGTGATACTGTTTAAATGCTAAAATTTTTATAGTTGCTAAAACAGAACTCTACAAATGATACTATATACATACTTGGTGATGTTAGGTTCTGTTTCTTTCTCCTTAGCTTCATTGACATTCAGTTTATAGTATTTAACGCTAATCATAATTTTAGTCTTGAAGAAGAAGACATCATGTTGACTGTTATCTGGGAAATACCTAAGGAACATCAAAATTAAAAAAGTTATTCATGACCTGCAATAGTTGTCCAAAACCCCAAATGGCATTCAAGGATTGATGTGACTTTAATATGCATTTCCTCGAGTGGTTACCATGTTTTCTCTTATGAGGAATTAGCCTGGAAATTTGCAGATTTCAACATTTATCATTTGAGAGACAATGTGGGGACTGGATTTGTGCAGCTGCAAGTTGTTAATGCACTTTGGAAAGGAGATAGACAGCTAGCCTCCAAGATGCTTTTGGACCTTGGTGAAGTAAATGACAAGTTAAGTGCTAAGGATTTTGCCTGTATTTTGGAATATTGTGCACGCACGCCAGATCCCTTGGTAATAATTATGGATGGTAATTCTTAATCTTGATTTTAGGTGTTTGAGTGTGTTTTTCTTTGCAAGTCTGCTCTTTTCTTCTTCTGTGGAGCAAAATATTGATGTTGTACCTTATAGTAAAGCTATTTTATTAGTAGGACTCTTGTTGACTTTTATTTTGTTAGTCTTTGATATTTTTGTTGATAGAAAACACTATTGCAAGGACCTATTGGATTCTTTTGCTCATGTTTGTAATTAGTGAGCTCTACAACAGATTATACATAACTGAAGTTACTGAATAGTTAATATCCTCTGTCTTTACTTTTTTCTTTGTTACTCATCACTCTTTAGTATAATCATCACCACTGTAGTACATGAGGCTTCAGTTAATGATTTTTTTTTTTTTTTTGAATGGGAGGAAATGCTTTTTTTTTTTACTTTTCTTTTTATTTGAAGAATTGTCTTGTTTCAATGTAATGGAATAAACCCAGTTATTATAAAAAAAAAAAAAGAAGAAATAACTATTGAAGCAAGAGAGTGTTTATAACCACTGACTAGACAATCACTTTGAATTGAGACCAATTTTTCAAAAAAAGTGAAAATAGAAAACAGGCAACTCTAGAAGCAAGAGAGTGATTGTTAGGCACCAGCCAGGCAAGCATAATAGTGCTATTTCATTCATTGGCCAGGTAAATATAGTAATAGGCTTTGTAGTTGTGGGACAAGTAAGCAGCAACAATTGGGATGTCTCCTTAGAATTGAATCATGAACTAGGAGGGTCTTGATTGTAAACAAGAAAAGGGAAGTATTAGGTATTTGATATCAAACTAAGGGTGGATTGAATTCAACATGATAAAAAAATGACTTATTTCTCTTTAAAAACCAGAGTGGGATGTCTCCTTATAATTGAATCATGAACTAGGAGGGTCTTGATTGAAAACAAGAAAAGGGAAGTATTAGATATTTGATATCAAACTAAGGATGGATTGAATTCAACATGATAAAAAAATGACTTATTTCTCTTTAAAAACCAGGGTTGATTTTTCCCTTTGACCTGGATCAAGGCATTTGGGCAATGGGTTCCTCTGCATCTTTTTTTTTCTCCTTTTTGGCATAGAATAAGATTCTTGTTTTGTTTTTTTTTTGGGGGGAGGGGATGTGGGGTGGTTTATCTCATCAGACTCCAACACTCACCTGGAATGACATGTTAGTACTTTCTTTTTCGATGATTAACATGTGGGTTGTTGGCAAAGTTTTAACTCTCATTCCAATGGGTTTCACTAGTCTATCAGACTGATATGGTACACCATGATATACCTTGCCATATCACCCAACCTTTGTTGGACCAGTAAATACCGATCAGTGTGCACCTTGCTGCTGATGGGTATTTGAAACCTTGTTTGCTGGTAAATTTTAGAAATTTGGTGCAGAACCCATCTGGGACATATGATTTATATTCACATGTTTAGGTAAATTTTTACTAAGATTCCATTGTATTTGGATAATTGAATGTGAATATGTTTATTCTAGTGACTAAAATCAAAAAACGTATGTAGTGCTTCTTTAACTATTTGATGTCTCTACGATGGATCATCTCAAACTCTGTAGTGTCTTTTTGTGTTTAACATAGTGGTGCTGATGTCCTTACATGATTGTATGTGAATAGAATTGTTGTTTCATGATATGGTCCATTCAGAAGAGGACCAAATGCTTTCGGCAAGTACTTCTATTCATCCTCATGATTGCAGGTTTTACTTTAATGATCCTAATGAACAAATGAAAAAGAAAAAAATAAAGAAATTGTACAGGGATTTTGAAAACCTTATTTTATTATCCTTCTAAAACTGTTAACTTTGACTTAATTTTTTTAGAAGTCAAAATTCTAAGCATCAAATAATGTGATGTACACATACATATGATTTTGTGAAGGAAGTACTATGCCTGATAGCTTCTTTAGTTAGCAGTGAGTGCTCTTTTATAGTACTACAAATTAATCAGATTATGGAGCTAGTAGACAAATGTAGTTACCAAATACAACTATCATTATGTCAAGGTTATAAATTCCCCTAGCTGATCCAAGACTGCATTGACTGAGATAAACAACATTGAGATGTTTCTAGCATTAGGGACCTTATGAAATCTTCCTGCATGCTCACATTGAATTATGGAATTTTTGTTATAACTTACTCTTACTTGATAGTTCTAGGGAAAAATATGCAAGATGATTTTAGGAAATGTAGCATAAAATATTTTCTTTTTAGGGACCAAGACCGAGTTGTTTTGTCACACTGCATGCTCGATATATTCTTCAAGTCTCTGAGAAGCATGCTCAGTGTGTTTGGAGGAAGTGACCAAGTGATTATACTAAACAATCTTCAATTTACTAAATATTATTAAATTTATATATGATTAAACAATCTTCACCCTCCCCATTTGCCATATTGGCAGGAGCCTCATGCATTGGTTTCCCCTATTGGAAACCCTCCAGTTGTTTCTTGGATTGAAACTAGTTATTCTTCTTTAAGTGCATAATAGTTCTTCGAGTAAAATTAGATTTGTTTAGTGCCCTTTATTGATTATTGATGGTAAATGAAGCACCCTTTTTATTTTATATTTTTGTGGCAATACTTTGTTGATTGTTTCGACACGATTTGCCTTTGCATTGGTTTATTGGTATTTGTTTTGTGTAGTTTGCTATGGAGACATGGAAAATCATGGAGGACAAAATGATAGACATAAACAAGAGAAGTTGTATATTCATACTTCAAGCTTTCAGCAAAGGAGGATACATTAAGGAGGTCTGCTTAAGATTTCCTTGCATTCTTTGTCTCTTGCTCTTTCTATTCTTTATGTTTATTATAATACATAAAGTTCACTTTTGGCAAAACAATAAACTATCCTAAAATTTATCATTTACTTTAAAGTCAATAAAGAAATCTATTAAAACTTTTGATTTTTTTTTCTACATCTTTAGATAATCTTCTTACACTCTTTTATCCAACCAAGCCTTTATAAAAAAATTAGCCATAGTAGTTTAGGGGTGCTCTAAACTTAACTAGACATATGGATTTTACAGATCTCAATGGCGGCAAAAGATCGATGTAGCCGACCCTAAATAGTTGGACTTACAGCTTTGTTGTTGCAGTAGTAGTAGTTTACGGGTGAAAATTGATTACAGATGGATCTGATAGTGAAAAAAATTTAATGCCAATTAGTTCTGAATCAGTGGATACAAATACATATATG